TAAATAAAAATAAAAAACAAAAGACATGCAGTTGTCTTAAAGCCCCCTCCCCAGGAATGTCATCAAATAACCAGGAAAGGTTAACCACTGGAGACCAGAAAAGACTAAAAGTTGCTACCAGGCCCAGACAGACTTTTCACCTGTTCTTCTGAAGGCAGCTCCAAGAGATTATCTGAGAGACTTTATCTACATAATAAGACTTGCTTTGTTCACAGTGTAGTTCTGCCCCTCACCTTGCTGCCACTTCCCCCAGCATTCAGAGGAACTTTGTCCCAGGCCATTGTCTGTTCTTTGGGCTCATTTTCCCTAAAAAATCATTTAGTACTCTTCAAAATTGCCTATATTCCCCCAGCTCCCTCTCTTCTATGAAGAAAGTGCTATTGAAGCTTCAGCCATTTGACTCTTCTTTGGGCCTCATATTTTGCATGGCTCCTGTGCACGCTTGCATGTTGATAAATTTGTGTGCCTTTTCTCTCTTCAATCTCTTGTCAGATCATTTCAGTGAACCTTCAGAGGGCGGAGAGGAAGCTTTCCTTTTGCCCCTACACTCTCATTCAGGTCTCAGCAAATATGTCACCTCCTCAGAGATGCACCCCCTGAACACCGTGCCTAAAGTGGTCATCTCTCTAACCCCGGCACCCTCTATTTATCTTGCTCTGATTTGTTTTATTCATAGCACTTACCACTCTCTGGAATTTTCTTATGTGTTGTTTGTGTCCTCCCAGGAGAATGCAAGCTCCAAGAGAGCAGAAACCTTGTCTTTGTTGTTCAACTTTTCTATCTCCAGTTATCAGAACAGGGCCTGGCACCTAGGTGGCACCCAATCAATATTTGTTGGATGAATGAAAAGCCTGGGGAGTAGCGTGAAGAGATTTTTCATTGAAAGTAGATCACTGGCTGTTCTGTGGAAAGTGGATTATAAGGAGGTGAGGCTGGAAGCAAGAGGACTTAATTAGGATGCTACTTTATTGGTGCAGGGGAGTGATGCCCTTTTTGTATATTAACTCTTCACAACACTGTGAGTTAGTTCTAGCCTTGTTATCACTCCTCCATTTTACAGATGAGGAGACTAAAGCATAGAAATGTTCATACAGTGAACTACCTGGGTCGAGCTGGGCTTTGAGCACACAGTCTAACTTCAGAAGCCATGCTCTTGGCTGCTACGCCACACTGCCCTTGGTACTTAAAAAATTTTTTTTTTTTTGGGGACGGACAGAGTCTCACTCTGTTGCCCGGGCTAGAGTGCCGTGGCATCAGCCTAGCTCACAGCAACCTCAAACTCCTGGGCTCAAGCGATCCTCCTGCCTCAGCCTCCCGAGTAGCTGGGACTACAGGCATGCGCCACCATGTCCGGCTAATTTTTTTTTCTATTAGTTGTCTGGCTAATTTCTTTCTATTTTTTTAGTAGAGACGGGGTCTTGCTCTTGCTGAGGCTGGTCTCAAACTCCTGACCTTGAGCAATCCACCTGCCTTGGCCTCCCAGAGTGCTAGGATTACAGGCGTAAGCCACCGCGCCCGCGCCATATACCTTTTATTTCTCTCTCCAAACCTTTGCTTATGCTGTTTCTCTTCCTGGAATGCTCTTCATTCTCCTTATCCTCTAGATGAATTTGGCCCACCTGTCAAAATCCAGCTCATTCACACATCTTCAGTAAAGAAGTCTTCACTGACCACACCTGTCCATCCTGCTCTTTTGTCTGGATATATTATAGACCACACCACGTGTTATCTGCATGATTCCTGAGAGTCTCTTATAGATATGCACAAAGAATCATACACTGATCTGGAAGGGACCTAGAAGATATTAAATGAAATTGTATAGGCCATTGATTTCGACTGAGCTTCTGCACTAGGCCCAACAGACCAAACCAACATGGAGCTACTTCTCCTGACGCTCCATGCCACCAAGCCAAAACCAAGATCTTTATCTGACCTTCTGAGAAATCGGGGGGAGAGAGATAGTGGCCAAATCCCCAAAAAGGCAGGTTGTAGTCAGCATGAGACTGTCTACATCCCCTCCACTTTAACCTTTACAAGAGAACTTTGGAATGACCAATCCGCTTTTTGTTTTCTGTTCCGATTTCCTCAGCTCTTTTCTGTCTAGAAAACCAACCTCCTCTGCCCACCTCATCAAAACACTCATTCTATTTTATAGGACGGCTGTTGCCTGATTCTAGAATCACAAATAAAATCCCGTTAAGGTCTTTAAATTTGTCGTAATTTTGTCTCTTGACAAAATCGAAGGGGCAGTGAAGCGGCTGACTTGTCCAAGATCACAGAGCAGACTGGTAGTAGAGGCGGGACCAGAACAGTTTCTTTCTTGGCAGGTGTTATTAATAGTTTCTCTACCCATCTGCAGCTGTACTTTCTTCACTGGGCCACACACCAGCGTCTCTTAAAGGGTGGCCCGAGAAAACACCTGCCTCAGAATCACGTGGGGCACAAAAAGACTAAGGCAGGCCCGAGGAATCTGCATTCTAATAAGCTCATTAGGAAATTCTCTCGCACATAAAAGAAAGTTTAAAAGACCAGGGTCGCCTGGCCGAGGGCCGCGCCATTCTCAAAACCGGCGTTGCCAAATTCCTTTGGCCTTAAAGGAGTTTTGGCTCTCCTCTTCCCCGCCCACCTCGCTTTACGGAAGGAGCCGAGTCAATCCGGAAATTGCCGAGTGTTCCGTGGCGGGCCCTTTCCTGCCCGCTTGCATTCTGGGAAAAGGCAGTTTCCGTTAGGTGCTGCAGGCTGAAGCGCGCGACCGGCCCCATTCCCACGTGAAGCGCTACGCTAGCAGCGCTCGGCGGGGCTGCTCCCAGCTCGCCGCGGAGCGTCCCGGCTGCAGCGGGGGAACCGGAAGTGGCTCGCAGAGACTCAGAAGCTAGTCCCGGAGCCCGGTGTGAGGCGCCTCGGAGCGTGGCGGCGGCGCCATGTCCCTGATCTGCTCCAGTGAGTGTTGGCTACGGCCGATCTCGGGTCGCAGGAGGCCGGAGAGCGGAGTGGGAGCGTGTGCGGACCGTTGCGGCGCTCGGGGCGGCGCGAAGGCGGGAATGGGGCGCCCCAGCGGCAGAACGGCGGACTGTCAGCACGAGGGTCCTATCCTCAGCGCGGGGTGCATTTGCGCAGTGCTCCGCAGTTTACACAGTGCCTCAGGTTTATCGTTGCAGGGATTACTGAGGCCAACCACCTCGTTTTACAGAGTGGAAACAGTTCTGAACAGAGCTGGTGCAGCGGAAACAGCTCTGATGTGGGAGTCAGGAAACCCGAGGGCTTGTCCAGGGTCAGCCTCCGTTTGGCTTTGTGAACTGGCTCAAAGCTCTGGGCCTCAATTTCCCCATCTGCAAGATGGAGAGCATTACACTGAGTGTTGTCTGACGTCTCGCTCGGATAGTCGGAGCTTTTGCGATTTGCGAAGGTCACGCAGCGAGTTAGAGGCAGAGACAGGGCTGGAAGCCAGGTGTCTGGCTCCCGGTCTCACACTGTATGAGTAATAAAAACAGCGAACATTTGTAAAGCTCTTACTGGTTTACGACGTGCTTCCAAGTGTATGAACTCATTCTATCCTTACAAGAATTCCCTAAAGGAGAAATAAAGATACTGGTTTTACAGATGAGGATATAAGGCTCCGGAAGAGTGAGGTTTATCTAAGGATACACAGCTAGTCAGTGGCAGAGCTGTGTGACGCAGCTAGGTGATACGGGGCTTTGACCCTGAATCTGTGCTTTTTCCATGCTTTCTATTGTCTTTCCTTTTGGTATTTTATTTTGGCATACAGGTGTTTTTCCTTCTTGTTTCATCAGATTACCAGTTTCCCATCCCTTTTTCTATTCCCTTCCTTCTTGTCTCAGAACCTCTCCATTAATCCAAAGAAGAAGGAAGGAAGGGAAATGAACAGAAAAAGGAATGCCTCACATTGAAGAAATTACAATTTGCAGAGTATTTTGACATTCATCGTTTCCTTTCAGTCTTGAGGAAGCTGTTTTTTATATTCCCCAGCACCATTCTTCCTCTCATTCACCCGTTCACTCATTTATTAGATGTTTACCAAGTGCCTGCTGGGCATCTGCATTGTACTGGAAGTCAGAGACCAGCTGTAATCCCTATCCTCAAGGGGTGCACAGTCTCTGGAGGCAAGTGTGCAAATGATACCTCTGTCGGGGGTTGTTGTGAGGGTAAGTTACTGTGTGTAACATGCTTCGAATCACATAGTAATGGACCATGCAAACTGCATAGTAATGTGCCATGCAAATGTACCACATAAATGTTTTATATTATTGTAGTGTTTGTCACATTGCTCCTTGGAATCTTCCACATGATAAGTATCTTTTTATATGCTAATGAGTTGACTGTTGGCCAGCAGTCCTATCTTAGCTTAAGATGGGGGCCGGTCACCCCCAAAGACCAAGGCAGGATTAGAGAGCTGGGACTTTCATCCCGACCCCTCAACATCTGGGGAAGAGGGAGGGGCTGAAGGTTAAGTTGATCGCCAATGGCCAGTGTTTTAATCAATCATGCCTTTGTAATGATACCTTCATAAAAACCTAAAAGGACAGGATTTGGAGAGCTTCCATATACCAGTTCCTGGAGGATGTCATGAGGCACCCCTTCTGCCATATCTCACTCTATACATCTCTTCATCTGTATCCTTTGTAATATTCTTTTAATAAATTGGTAAATGTGTTTCCCTGAGTTTTGTGAGCTGCTAGCAAATTAATGGTCATGAGAACCCTGATTTATAGTCAGTCATCTCAGAAACACAGGTAAAACAACCTGGGGCTCAAGATTGGTATGTGAAATGGGGGGCAGTCTTGCAAGACTGAGCCCTCAACCTGTGGGATCTGATGCTGCCTCCGGGTAGGTAGTGTCAGAATTGAATTGGAGGACACCCAGCTGGTATTCCTGCTAAATGACTACTTGCTTGGTGTGTGGGGGAAACCTCCGACATCTGAGTTCATAGATTAGTGTTGTGAGAGTACAGGAGGAAAATTGATTCTCAGACTGTATAATTTGTTTGATAATCTATCCAGGAGAATTATCACCTAGACTGAAATGGATGTCAGGAATTGGAGTGGGTTCATGTGTATCTCTGTTGTGGAGTAAAATGGGTACCCAACAATCTTTGTTCAAAAATGAGATGGGCAGGGATTATTGACTGCTGTTCTCTAGGTCCCTGGCACGTAGTGGTTGTTAATAGTTATTGTTGACTGTCAGGAGACCGGTGGAGAAGCTAGTTATGTAGCTGGGAAACATTCTGGGTCCAGTACAAAACTGGCCTGGTGTCACATGTCTTGCTTCCTGTTAGTTGAGTGTGAGGATGCCTGGTCCTGTTGGGGCTAATAGCAGGTGAGGAATCCCTAAGACCCAAGACTCCCTTCGCCCCAAGCTCACTGCATGCCTTTTCTCTACAGTCTCCAATGAAGTACCGGAGCACCCGTGTGTGTCTCCTGTCTCTAATCATGTCTACGAGCGGCGGCTCATCGAGAAGTACATTGCAGAGAATGGTACAGACCCCATCAACAACCAGCCTCTCTCTGAGGAGCAGCTCATCGACATCAAAGGTGCCCACTGGCTGACCTTAGTCTAGGGCCATCTTAGGTCAGAGCCTGAGAGGACAGCAGGTGGTGCCAGTGCACTGGAGGAGGAGATAGTGGTCTATTAATGGCTAAAGGGAAAAGAGGTGAGGTTGGGGAGAGTCCCCTGGTTTATAGTTCTTCATGCCCGCTTTCCCTCTCTTGGCAGTTGCTCACCCAATCCGGCCCAAGCCTCCCTCAGCCACTAGTATCCCGGCCATTCTGAAAGCTTTGCAAGATGAATGGGTGAGTTCCTGGAAGGGAATCAATCAGTGTTTTCCTCACTTCAAGAGAATGCATCACTAGATGAGGACTTGAGGGTGGGAAGGATGGAGCATTATTTAGAGTATAAACTGTGATATCAGGGACTGGTTTTACTCATCAGTGTATCCCCAGCACTGAGAGCAGCACCTGGTACATAGGAGGTGCTCTAGAAGTAATGAAAGAATGACTACATCTTGTGGGACTGTCTGGCACAGTGGCTGACATAACGAGGCCAATCAATAAATAGCAGCAGCAGCACTGTTATTATTCCCTTTTAGAGAGGTGACGGCATGACATCTGTGATTTGCTGGTAAATTAGAGAAGATGGGGATGGGAAAGAGCTGGCCCCTACTGGTGCTATGTGCCCCATATTCGGCTTGAGATAAGAGCTCAGGAGTGTCTGCTGGCATATTCAGGGTCACTGGGATATCGCTTGGTCACTGATACTGGTGTAGGCTGTGCAGTAGGCAGCATCCTCTCCTCAAGAGCCAACTCTACTGGGTGCTCCCTGCCCCCCCGGCCCCCACCTCACAGCGATGTTTCCCTCTCTCAGGATGCAGTCATGCTGCACAGCTTCACTCTGCGCCAGCAGCTGCAGACAACCCGCCAGGAGCTGTCCCACGCTCTGTACCAGCATGATGCTGCCTGCCGTGTCATTGCCCGTCTCACCAAGGAAGTCACTGCTGCCCGAGAAGGTGCTGCCTCTCTCCTGCTATCCCCAACTCTGGGCTGGTCCTGCTTTGTGATATCCCATTTCTGACATTATCTTTTCTCTCAGCTCTGGCTACCCTGAAACCACAAGCTGGTCTCATTGTGCCCCAGGCGGTACCAAGCTCCCAGCCAAGTGTTGTGGTGAGTGTCCCCCCTCCCTTGGGAGCAGCCCATTTTGTGTGCAGTGGCCCATGGAGCTCTCCTTACGTGAGTGTCTTTGGCACTCTGTGCCTCTCACCCTCACCTTTCTTCTCTTCAGGGTGCAGGCGAGCCAATGGATTTGGGTGAGCTGGTGGGAATGACCCCTGAGATTATCCAGAAGGTAAGTCCTGCTGTCACTTGGTGGGAATGCTGATGGGTCCTCACTTTTCACCACCTGCCTTGAGTCCAGTGTGACTAAAAATCCCAACATTTGAGAGTAGAGTACGATGGTGCAGAGCAGGGACTCTGGGACCAGACTGCCTAGGTTTGGATTTTGATGGCACTGCTTTATGGTCTTGGCTTATTGAGCCAACCCTTCTGTGTCTCATTTTCTCTTGCTTCTAAACTGAGAATATAATAGTACCTACTGTATAGGTTTGTGGGAAGTTAGATAATTTAATTACTGATAAGTGTGACATTTAGCTCTTACTGTTATTAAGCTATGA